CAAAAAAAATTAAAAAAAATAATAAAGTTCCTCATGTAGTGGTGACCCCCAACCATAAAATTATTTTCGTTGCTACTTCATCACTGTCATTTTGCCACTGTTATGAATCGGGTGACCCCTGCTAAAGGGTCATTGAACCTCCAAAGGGGTCGTGACCCACAGATTGAGAACCACTGCTGTAGGTTCTCAGAGAAGAGATGATCAGTCAATAGGCATGGAACTGCACTGAGCTAGTAACCTCTGAAGGACCCACTAAATCCTCTAACCATGTATCTTATTTCCCCCTCCATGTTTGTTCACTTATTTCATTCACTGAATATTTAGTGAACACCTATTATGTGTCAGGTATTGTTCTGCAAGAGGAGCCACTGAGGACAGAGAAGAACTAGGAGAGCCGTGTTCTGGAAACCAAGTAAAGAAAGAAAGGGTTTCAAGACAAAAGTTGTCTCATGCTGCTGATGGGGTAAGTACAAAGAAGTCTGAGGATAATGTGGGACTCATGAGTGACTTTAGCTCAAATTTGCCCAAACTTTGGCTGAAACTGGACAAAATATTATTGGGAATGTTCCAGAAAAGCATTGGATAAGAGAACTGAGGTTGGCATAAATATTTTCCACATTTTGTTAAAAGGGAAGCAAAGAAATGTTGCATTTTACTATTTTTGGAAAGTCCTGGATTTCCTGCTTTGCCAGTGGAGAGTAATTTCCATGTGGAGTGTTTACAAGCCTATAACTCCTCTGACCTTTTGAGGTTTTCCTGGTATTGGGAGCCAAGGGATCCCCTAGCTGGTCTGAGCGCTTTTATTTGTTAGTTTGTTTTATAAAGCAACCTCAAAGTCTTGCGGCTGATTCACTACTGTGACCCCACATCCACAGCTAACCACATCCACCACTGCAGCCACATGAATCATGTGGCCACCACTCTTCCTCTCTCCCTTACTGCCGCCCACCCCCCACACACACACACACCATTCATATACACACACATACAGGTTCCCACCAGCAGAGGACAGAAGACAAAGGACCTGCTTCCAGAAAAATATGTGGATTTGGACTATGAGGTGAGCTGACAAGTATAGCAGCAGCAGCAGCAGCAACAGGCGTGGCTATAGCCCACCCCCACCCCTCACCATGGTCTGCCCAAAGAAAGTGATCACCCTCATGCCCAACTGGAGAACACGGCACAGGACGACACATCATTTCTCATAGAGCTCTATTGTGGCATATAATAATAGGTACTCTATATAAATTAAATTAAAAATAAAGCTCCAGCAGGTTGCACATGGTGGCTGTTAATAAATATATCTCTGGGTAATTGTGCCCCAAGACCAGCTCATGACGACTCTCCCTCATCCAGAGAATTATACAAAAATAAATACAGGCTTGGGGGAGGGGGGGCATGCCCAGTTTCATTCTGAAAGTTTTTCTCATTCATACCATCTACCTGTCCCCCTATTCCTCTCCACGGCTATCACCACAGGGAGCCCTGGGCTGACTAGGAAATTCAGGTAGGGGAAAGCTTCTCTTGGAAGCAAAGCCTCCCCTACCCCCTGCCCCCCACCACTGCACAGGCCCAATATACCACCTCAACTCTCTGGGGACGTGCAGGTGCTGTCCTTTTCCCAGGCCCCAGTGAGGGGGGAAGCCTGTTGTTTCCAATTCCACAGGCAGCCTCTATGAGAACCAGGCCAACGAGAGGCACAGCACAAGCACCAGGATGGACAAACCACTGTTCAAAGCCACAGGGACCACCACCAGCCCAGCCAGGACCCCCAGAGTCTGGGCCAAGGGCCCCCGTAGCTGGGGAGGCAATCCACATACACATTCTGCAGGGGGTGCTACGACATGAGAGTTTTGCAGGGGCTGGAGACTTGGGCCTGAACTTTCTTCATCCTGGGAACACATACGGGGCCTGGACAGGCTAGAAGGGCAGACTTCAGCTCCTATGGGATTAAGGAGGCTGGGTTCTTGGCCCTGCCTAGGGGTTGGAGCAGTTGGCTCCTGACCAGATACAGGAGCCAAGCCATCTATCCATCCAGTGGTGAACTCCATCAAGGTTCCCGTCACAGACTCCCCTGGGAAGCTGGCCACCCCAGCTACCACCCTATTCATGTGCAAAGAGTCAGTGTCCTTGCCCACTCCCCTGCCTGGAACCCCAGGAAACTGGCCCTCTGTACCCAGAACCACAAGGTTGTCACATCCTGAACCCTCTGCCCATGGGAGCCACACATCTCCCATACTAGCTATCACAGAATGAGTCCCAAAGTTGATTTCCGGAAGCGACTCCTTGGTGGCATCCTCTTCTGGGCTGGAGGGTGTAACAGAGAAACCTTCTTCACCCTCCCCCTCTTCATCAGGGTCTTCGGTGTCCTTGATGAGTTCCACACCACGGCCCAGCCGGGCATAGTGCAGTGTGATCTCCTCGGCCAGGGCACTGTTCAGGGCCCGCTCAGGGCCAGGCCACTTCAAGATCAGATCTCGGTCCGTAAGTATACCCAAGGACTGGCTGGGGGACGCTCCCCCATCTATGGGGCCCTCCCCACCACCCCCTACCCCACCTGCAGCCACAGCAGCCCGAAGGCGGCTCAGGTGGGACAGGTAGAGCTGCTCCAGCTCCTGGTCAATGGAGTCTTCACCAAGCAGTTCCTCTAACCCACTCATGACCTCCAGACCCCCAGGAGGCTCATCCATGATAGCTCCCACCATGGGGTCCTTCCGGCTCCCTCCATTCTCACTGGATACTTCCCACGTGGCCTCCACATGCTGCGGGCTGGGTTCTAGGAAAGACCCGGCTGCCCCCTCACTTGAATCAGGGCCTGAGGCCTGGTCCCTGGGGGAGCCCCCTAGGCCACAGAGAGAGGAGGAAGGAAGAATCCTGATGGCAGGTGCCTGGGGGACCTCTGTGAAAGCCACAGGTGGACTGCTTCTGGGGATGCCACCTTCCTCTGGGGAGTTGCCAGCCACTGTAACTTCAGAAACCTGGAGCCATTGGGGGGGGGGGGGGAGAAGAGGATGGAGAAGCAGAAACAGTGAGAACTGGTGAGAGTCCACACCCAGCCCCACAGGAGTGTTCAAACACTCCTTAAAGAACCCTCTGTAAATCTCTAAACTAGAAAGACTATTTCTCTGGATTCCAATACAAAAGAGGTGGAACACAAGGACAAATGCTTTCGTATAGACAGTGGAACTGAAGGATTCAGTGGGCATCAATAATAATTATAACTATATTATGGGTATACTTTCAAAATATGTCCATAAGAGGCATATTAATCCATGATGTATTTTCTCCTTTTATAAATAATTGTTTCCTGGCTGACTTTTGAAACAGCCTTTTTTTTAAAAATGACCAATTAAAAAGCAGCCAGCACTCAGCGCTTGGCTTCTAAATATCATTTCTAGTCAAATAAGCCAGAGTTCCAGGTTTGAGGCAGCAAAAAAAAAAGTATAATATTAGCCTGGGACATCATGTCATACCAGAAAATGAGAACCTGCTCAATGACCGATAAGCCATGTGAAAAGGCTCACGAGCCAATCTAAATAACTTTGTAACGCTCAGAAGCAAACACTCCAAGTAGATGCAGTGAGTAGACATTGTTTGGGTCCTAAAAGATTTATGAAATAATCAAGAGACTTGGAACACAAACCAAATATGTGATGATAGGAAGGCATTACTATATAAATGGAAGTGTTCGTGAATGATCTCAGGGTTTATTTCACAATAAATTCCATAGGAAATGGGAGAGGAATAAGTGGGGATATAGATAAATTAAGATCAAACATAATCTGATATTGATTGAAGTTAAGCGATAGATAGATAGATAGATAGATAGATAGATAGATAGATAGATAGATAGATAGATAATCGCTAAGCTATAAGAAGGACTTCAAAGGCTCATAAAAAACTGGAACTAAAAAATAATGGAATGTTTCCACAAACTTTTGAAGCCTTCTCATATTTTCTCTGCTTTTATATATGTCTGAAGTTTTATAATAAAAAATTAAGTCTAGACAAGTGATGATGGTGGTGGCAGAGGAGGTAAAGGATGTATCTGTCATGAATGTATCTGTGTGCCTATGTACATATTTTAATGTATTCATTTACATATTTTGATACATATGTATCAAAATAACAAATGAGTTTAATTAACACATATTGTAATGTGTATTAAAATATTTTAATACATTTGTTAATATATCTGTGTGCCTGTGTACATAACACATAACATATATGTCAGAAGTTTTGTAATCAAAAGTTAGGATGATATGTACACAGGCGCACAGATATATTAACAAATGTGTTAAAATACATATTAAAATATTACTGTAGTAGCCACCTCCTCACTTGTCTCCCGATTCCACCCTTAGCCCGACTCTCTGTTTTCCACACAACAGCCAGAGGAATCCTATAAATATTCACCTAGATCATGTCCTTCCTCTGTCCACAGCTCTCCTGTGGCACCTCCCTCACTTAAGAGAAAAAGCCAACATCCTTATCATGGTCCAGAAGGTCCTACAGGGCCTGTCCCCTGTCCTCATATCTCTCTCACTCTGTTCCATACACACTGGCCTCTTCTCTGTTCCTCACATGCTTCTATCTCAGGACTTTTGCCCTTGCCTGAGATGTTCTTCCCCTGCTTTTGCACGTGGCTCACTCTTTTCTCTCACCTTTTTCAGGTCTTTGCTTAAAGCTCACATATCACTAAGGCCGCCCAATCTAAACTTGCAAACCCACCCACATGTACACACTCCATATCCCCTTTCCCTGATTTATGATTTTCTTTCTTAGCACTCACCAACTCTCACTCCACTAAAACATAAGTCTCATGAAGACTGGGTTTTTATTCAGTCTTATGTTTCTAGGGTCCTTAACAGTGCTAGGCACAAAGCAAGCACACTGAATATTTGCTGAATGAGTGAAAGACAAGAACTTCGTTACTCCCAGCTGAATAACTGCATCCTACCCCTCACCTATGAGATTCTGGCTCTTGTGACCTTCCTCCAGCCTAGGGTGGACCCAGGATAAGTCAGCACCCACTACCTCTCCACTCAGTGGTGGCCATATTGTAAGCCTCCAATTGAGCTACCCCCAGACAGTGCAAGGGCCTGCTTACCTGAAGTGTCATCTGAGGCCATGGACGGAGAGGGGTGGGTGCAACCAGGGGACCCACTGACTCCTGGACATCAGGATAATCTGACGGAGAAGAGAAAGGCAGTATTGGGGCAAGGCAGATATGCAAGCAGGCCTTAATTGGTACCAAATGCTTGCCAGTTGGCAGTTTTGCCACTGAAGCCTTCTGTGGGAGTCGAAGGCAGAGGTGCCTCTTCATTTGTACAGGGAGCCAAAAAGGAGGGAGGGAAGAAACGGTGAATAAAAGCCAAACCTCCCACAGCTAGCCAATTGCTTACCCACAACAGGGGTATTAACATCCATGCTCTTCGTCCTCAGCAGTTCCTCGTGGGGCCTGTGGGGCAGAGGAGAGAATGCATGGATCTGACACCCTAAAAAGTCAGTTCTACCACCCAATGGCACCTTCTCGGCTGCTGTGTTCTCTTCTCTCTTTATCCCCTGAGAGTGCTACATACTCATTGTAGAGCATCTGTAAAATATTCGGAAAGTATAAAGAAGCAAGAAAAATTGCAGATAAAAAAATGCTGTATTATTTAGAAATTTTTCATTTCCAACATCCGATGCATTTTCTTAATCACTTAGATTCGGCAGACATAAATTCTTGGTGGCTCTGTGCATTGAACAATAAGTAACATCACCATGGTCTTATAAAAATTTTACTTTTGTGGGGGAGGAGAAAAAAATGAGCTGATAACAAGAAAGAAAATGTCTAGAACTGAATGTGGGCAACATATGTACCACCGCGCCGGATTCAATTGATGTATGGATTGTGATTTTTTTTTAAAAAAGAGTTGTACGAGCCCCCAATAAAATGATTTTTCTTAATTTTACTTTTTAAAACATTTTATAGCCATTTCCCTCCTACTGAGCAGCTAGGTCCCCCCAAACCCCCCCCACTCCACCCAATTTTTTTTCTATTAGAAATCAAGCTTCCACAAGCAACTTTAGGTATGATCTTATCAACATTTTGGATCATATCTTTAGGATATCTTCATGGCTGTAAGAAAACTACCTTTCGCAAGAACGAGCAAGTGAGAAGGCTTAATGACACAGGAAGCATCAGAAGAAAGAAAGGCAACTACAGAATAGAGGGGGTCAGCAGGAAAAGGAAGTAGCCTGAGGTCAGCACCCTGAGTCACTACCTGCCCCCATAGCCCTCATTATCAGCCTGGAAAGCCACTTAATCTCCCTGCCCCCCTTCACCTTCCTCACCTGGAAAAGGAGCACAAGAGCCAAAAGAAACGACGGTATAAGGCCCCAAACATCATGACCTGACCCAGAGCAGGGGCTGAATCAGTAGATACATATTGGTCTTATTTCCGCCTTCACCAGGCAACTCAGGTGGCAGGGTCTGAGTGACCTGTGCCAAGGGTATTTCATGGGTACCATGTAGAAATCACTTTTGCTCACAATTGATCAAATGTATAGCGATTAAGACAAATGAGGGAGTATTAACTAAAACATGCTCAAAGACTTGAGAGCAGCTGAAGCAATTGCTCTAACCATGCTATTCCTTGAGATGTTTTTCCTTAAGATGTGATGATGATGTTGGTATTTCTGGAGATGAGTGAAACTTTGTGAAACTCGTAATCCATTACCTACATAGAAACAGCGTACCACTAGCTAACCCTTATATCATAAAGAGCCCTAGTGGCACACTGGTTAGGCGGTAGGCTACTAACCATAAGGCCAGCAGTTTGAAACAACCAGCTGCTCCTCCAAAGGAAGACGGGGCTTTCTATTCCTGTAAAGAGTTACAGTCTCGGAAACTCACCGGGGCAGTTCTACCCGAGTCAGCACCAACTCCATGGCAGTGAAGGATGGTGGTCAGCAATAAGTGTTTTACATGTACTAATCTTCACAACAACCCAATGAAATCGGTGCTTTAATCCTCTGACATAGGCAGTCCTATTTTCCCCATCTAACAAGAGATTGAAACTCGGGTTGGATAAATGTCTCAAGACCACACAGCCAGTGTCAAACCCAGGTCCTTCTGGCTCTGAAGTCCATATTTGGAAGCAACAAACTGCTGCTTCTTGGGGGAGGGAACTACGGTTTGACTCATCTGCAATCCTTTCTAGAAGCAGAGGCATTATCAATAACAGGATCCCTCCTCCCTCCTTCACGCAGCACCTTCTTTGGACCTGTCTTCTCCCCATATTTACTCTGTTTCCCTGCCTTCCTGTGACATGTGTGAAGAGACTGCTAGAACACAGAAAGAGCTGCAAAAATTGCTCCTTATGCCAGTGCATAAGTCACTATGCCACAAACGGAGACCATCTGTGGTCATGTACCTCCTGTGCCCCATCCAAATTCTCCTTTCATAACATTTGATTTAGGAGCCCTGGTGGTGCTGTGGGTTACAAGCTGGGCTGCTAACTACAAGGTCCGCAGTTTGAATCCACCCAGCTACTCTGTGGGAGAAAGATGAGGCTCTCTACTCCCATTCATAGCTACAGTCTCAGAAACCCACAGGGCCAGTCCTATCCTGTTCTTTAGGCTATGAGTCAGTCTCGACTCAGTGGCAGTGATTTTTACTGAGAGCTTATATGGACATACCCCAAAATGCTGTTGAGTCAATTCCAACTCATAGTGACCCTATAGAAAAGAGTAGAACCACACCCCTCTCCCCCCCAAATCCTTTTTTTCTTTAGGAACAGTTTTATTGGGACATAATCCAAATACCATACAATTCAATAGTTGGATCAAATCAAGAAGTACTGTACAGCCATCCCCATGATCAATTTTAGAGACTGAGTCTTTATGACAGCATCTCTGCCGACCTTGCAGTTAGCAACCCCATGCTTAACCCACTGCATCACCAAGGCTCCTTCACATACCACCCAAAGTATTACAGGGCCTGGAACAGAGGACTCTGAGAGCCCAGACAGCTCCTGCATATCTTGGATGAGAAAGGGAGTCTCAGAGCAAAGGATCCTGCACCAGTTGCTTAGTGGATTTAAAATTCAAGTCTTTGGTTTTGTGACTCAACCTGATTTCTCCTAGGATCTATTTGGCTGGTGTGGTTCTTCATGATTGAAAATGCCATATTCCTAGGATCTTCTAAATCAAGCCCCTTCAACCCCCCACCCCCACCTCAAGCAGAAAGCCAACCCTCTCCCAACCAAGCCTTCCCCTGCCATCTGGCCGGTCTTGACATGCACAGCAACTGGACTTCAACATGCCACTGCAGAGTCATAGATGCAAGTCAAAGAGGACAAAGGACACTCAGGAAATAGCCCAACCAACAGGAGGAGAACTCCACAATTCAACTAGGAGGAGGAGAAGAACGAGAACAAAGAAAAGACATAGTAACTTCTTTCTCTCCCAGAGCATCTCTTTCACACATGGAGAGTGAGAGGCAGGGGACACAGAAATGTCAGGTCACGCGATTCAGCCAATCCCAAGTCCCATGAATCAGCAAAAGTAAACAGGTCACTCTCCCTTTCTCCAGTCAGAGTAGTGATAGCAGAAGGTCCAGATATTTATTGTTCACTTCTTCCAAAGTGGGCCCTTTGCACTGATGCAAGTCATTTGGAAACCTCCACCACTATCGTTCAGAGTAAGCTCCCTTCCTTTTTAACGAATGTGGACTCAGAGGCTCAAGAAACTGAGTGTCTATAGCCACTAACTATACATCAAACTGTTAACATCCAAAGAGGGCTCTGTTTTGAAGACAGGGGTTTTGTGTGTTACACACACTCACACACACACACACACACACACACACACATCCCTGAATTGCCTTTCACAGTAAAAATTCCGGGACAGCCAAATCAAAACTAGGATAGTAAGAAAAATCAAGTAAAAATGTTACTGACTCACTAGTCAGTTACAGAGAAGAGGGGTTCTTAGAAAAATGGGAGGGAGGAAATTAAGAACAAAACTGTACCTACAGTATGCCTGCTGATTTTCAAGAAGGAAACCTGATCTTTGGGCAGCTGGCCCACACAGGCCACACGGCATCTTCTCAAGGTTCGTGGGCAGCAGTTGGCTGAGAGAGCACGAGTTCCAGGATACTCTGAGCTGGGCACGAGCCAACCTTCTCAGATGATGTTTGGGCAGGTCAGTCAAGATGATGTGACCATAGAGGAGGCCATCTCGGACCTGGACACCAGTCCCCTGGTTATGACTATTTCTCCTGCCATCAGGAAAACTTGGTGGCTGCCGACCTCAGACAGTACCAGGGATAACAGCAAGCAGGTGCCATTGGCCCCAGTCTTAACCAGCTGAAACAGAACAGAAAGATGAGTCGCCAGAGACAAGAGTGTGAGCCAGCAGAAGGCAGACAAGCCCCATAGAGAAAAGCCAAGCAGGCTTTCAGAGCAGTCATTCCCCTGCCATTACCGCCGTTGCTGTCCCAGGCTTCTGTTCACACCCTCCAAGGCTCAGGTTTTCAAAGAACCTCACCAGCCCAAAGTGGGTCATGAGCTGAAACTCAACAATTGTGACCCCAGCAACTACATAATCAACATGAAGATAATGCTGACTCCCTGGAGGAACATGTAATTTGAGAGACTTGCCCCACAATACCCAGAATCCTGATTACCCTGAGCCATCTGCTTTCTGAAAAGAACTGGGCTTGAACACAGGTGTGCAACCAGCCCCCACGTTATATGAAACATTGCTTTGCCTTCCCCAACAGTGTGCCGGCCTCCACTCCAAGATTCCCAGATGATCCAGAGCCAGGGGCAGAGTTCATAGTACTAAGAACGACTTTTACTGTGGTGCCTTAGTTGGGCCATGATCCGCGATAAAAAAAAATACATGCCATAACCCAGCCCATTCATACATATGTAAATATATATACATGTGTGTATAGGAAAATGTTCAGAAAACAATACTTACTTGTCCTATAAGTGATACACTGACATTCCTTTGTAATGTCTGTTGGTTTCAGTACATTGATTTCACATCTCAATAAAGGGTCATGACATGCAATTTTAAATAACTTGCGCTCTACTACCTACCCGCTGTGTAACTTGGCGCAAGACATGTAACCTCTCTATGCCTTAGTGTCCTCATCTGGAAAGAGAGAATAGTGATACCTACCTCAGGAAGTTGAAAAGATTGAGAAATATTGGAAATTCACCTGTGAAGTACTAAACACTTTGTATTCCCACTGAAGGAAATTGAGATTGTGAGGTAGAATGTAGCTTGCCCAACTGGTAAAACACATCACCCAACCTGGCGATAAAGTGGTTAACAAGTAGCTCTACCACTGTTTCAGCATGGGGCCCATCCCCACATCCTTAACCAGGATGCCCTGCCAATTTTCTGAAGAATAAGGATGACTTTAACAGTAAATTCTCACTTGCCCAATAACCAAGATCATCATTGACCCTATCAGGTTCAACTTTGGGTGTTCTGTGTTTCCAACTTAAGAGTTCAAGTTGGATCTCATCCATCCACTCTGAAGTTCATCTAAGAAAAACACCGAGGCTTCACTATGCCATCAACCCCAGTGCCTATCCCTGACCACACCCAACTATGAAGTTTACAATTCAGTGCAGGGGGGTGGGGAGTGGCGGATATTTAAAAGAAAAAAAAACTCACACTCATTCTTTCAACAAACATTTATTAAGTACTTGCTAAGTGCCAGCCAAGCCCTTCAGGAATACAGTGATGAACAAAAGTAGACCCTGTCCCTACCCCTCACGGAGCTTACAATCTAGCAGGGCAGAGAGAGATTCATCCAGTATTCCTTAGTAATGATCTAACGGTATAGCCCAAGCCCTTTAGAAAAGGGGGAAAAATGCTCTAGAACAGAGGCCTTGGCCCAGACTGCAAGGTCAGGAAGGTCTAAAGGATGCATAGAAGGTAACTGAGCTAGGCGAGGGTAAGGGAATGTGAGGGCATTCAGAAGGGGGGGGTGGTGATTCCATCTTAAACAAGGTGCGTTTTGAGGCATCTTTAGGACAACAGCGAGTGGACACACTAATTTTGGATACTTGAGGCTGAAGGAAACAGCAAGGAGAAAAAGAGGGACAAAGAGGTAAGAGTAACAGCAGCAGACGGTGGTCCACAAGCGGCAAGGGAAGACAGCGCTTTGTACTTTGAGAAGAAAATCAAAACCACCTGTGGAATCTGACGGATGCAGGAGGTCAAAGAGAGGATGAGGAAGTAAAGGAGGCTTTCTGTACAGAAAGCTTGGCAGCAAAGCAGGACAAGAGCCTGAGTCAAGCGGTTTTGTTGTTTAAGATAGGACAGACGGTAGCACATATAAAGACCAACAGGGAAGATCCAAGTGAGCAAGGTAAGTAAAGATATACCAGGAAAGGAAGGGTAATTCTGTCAGGTTCTAGAATAAACAGCTAAAAAAAAAAGCAGGGGAGGCTAGAACACAGGTAAGGACTGTGGGCCGAGGGAGCAGAGGGGACACAGAGGAAGGCACTCAGTCTGCAAGCCGTGGGGAGTTCCATTCCTCTGACTTCTGTTGGTGTTTGTGAAGCAGGTGGTGGCAGCTGAAGGTAAGGAATGTTCGAGAGACACATTAGCGAGGAGGCAAGAGGAGGAACCGAAAGATCTAAGAGGACTGCCAGGCCGGGTGGAAAATCCAGATCTGGCTTTGGTAGGGCTGCTAATCTGCTTGGCTGTGTTTTAAGTCTCGCACGAGGCAGGTCTGCTCTGCTCATCACCAGTGCTGTGAAAAACAGCGGCGGGGCCACGCTTCAGAGGAGGTAGGGATGGACGGGCTGCCCTGAGGAAGTCCTCTTCACACTGAAGGAGCAACAGGAATCGACTGCAAGTGGTTCAAGACAAACATTCCTGGTGAAAGCAACCACATAAGCAAAGACCTTGAGGCAGGAAGGGGAAAGGTTCCTGGGTAACAAAAACCCAGGTGACAGGAGCTCAGAAGGCAGAGAATGGTGACACTGGAAGCAGGCAGAGGCTAGATGGGAGGCGGGTAAGAAGGGCTACCTGAAGGCCCTGGTGAGGCTTTCTCAGTCTTAGTTTTTAAGAGAAATGGGATACCTCCAAAGGGTCTTAGACCAAGGCCGACCAGGAGTACTCCTCCCCACACCAGCCTTTGGACTTTGGAAGCTGCCATTTCTCCATCCAGGAAAGAAGGATAAAAAGTCTCTTGTGGAGAGTGTCAGCAGGAGTAAACGAGACTGTGTATAAAAACCCTTAGCAGTGTTATGTAGCGAAGAACAGGGGCTCTGCCCATTTTCTTACAACCAAGCGCTCTATACGTATTCTTCCCACCCAATCCCACCACACAATGCTGTGAACACCAAAGGACTAGTCCGCTTTGCTTTTTTCTTGCTTGAACCAAGCACTATGCCCAGAACATAGTAGGCCAATAACTGCTTGTCGATGGGTTATCTCCAAGTCTACCCAAACCCAAATCCACTGTCATCAGATTGATCGCGACTTACAGCAACCCAACATCGGGTTTGTACGACTGTCAAGCTTTACGGGAGCAGACAAACTCCTCTTTTGCCACTGAAGCCGCTAGTGGGTTTGAACAGTTGACCTCGCAGTTAGCAGCACTAACCCAGAGCTCCTTTCTCTAAGGATGGCCACAAGCCTGGTCCACATCTCAGGGAATGCTGCCATTTGAGTTTCTGAGTAGGGCCCAGAGAGCATCTCCTGTGCCCCTACTTGACGCAGCGATCTATGCCCAGCACATAGTGGGCCTGCAGCCAAACATTTCTTGAATGGGAAGTCCTCTATCATGGGGCTCCCACAGATAAAGGATATCCCCTTAGGTCCGCCACCATTTCCCAAGAGGGCTGAGCCACAGGAGGCAGCTGTTCAAGTCACTAGCAACGCACAGGTTTTAAAACAACAATAAGTTAAAATGTACTCAACAAGAAAGCCACTAACCTACAAAGAAAACTTTATCGCTGATCTTGCAATGAGCACCAACCTCCCCTTTGCAAGAGCTGAGATCAAAAGATAGAGAAGCTATCAGACAACCATCTGCCCACTTAAAATAATATCACAAGTCATGTTAGGAACCACAAACCTGGGGCCAGATACCAAAACAATTGTCTGAACGGGCTGCTTCAATTTCTCCTTAAAACCACCCATGCATTTTAAAAGAAAAACACCCTCTCCACCCACCCTGGCCCTGCAAGGTTTTGATTTCTCTGTTCTCTTCCTTTCACACTCTTTAAAATGACCAAACTCCGATCCCCACACTATCGCATCTTACAGACAGGGCTCCCACGACAACTAGCTGGGGTGACGACGTGGGAAAAGTGATAGAAATGAAGACAATGGTGGGGCACTGAAAAAATTCAGTGTGTACATATATGAAAATCCACTGAGCCACACACTTCAGATTAGTGCATGTTACCACTAAACAGCGGGGAGAGGTTGAAAGCATGCAGTGTTGAACCACCAGGCGTGAAACCCAGACCTTGCCCCGAACCCTGCCAGGCCTTCCAGAGGATGGGTAGCAAACACTTCCCTGGCATCTTTTACATGGTCATGTCACTCACTCGCTGAGTGATCTTAAGCAAGTTGGTTCACCTCTCTGAGCTACAACAGTTGCCCCCTCTATTATATGAGGAGAATCATAGCACCTACACCACATCACATGCACTGGATTCAATGAAAATGGACTTGAAGCTCTTCGCTGAGTAATAAGTGCTGACCACTCTTCACTTTCACAGCTACTTCAGTGAACCTGCCCCAAGTTTGCTGGGTTTAATCCAACCAAATTACCATTCCCCTTAAACAGTTAAGAAAAGTGAGGCAGTGCTATATGGTTGGTGATGGGTAGAGTTTATCTGAGACTTCTTAAATAACGATACAGTGAAACCTGTGAGAGCTGGAACTCAGGGGGACTACCTGGTTTTTCTGTCTCACAAGGTTTTTGCCTTTGACCGGATGCAGATGAACCACTTTTCTATTGCTATTACTGGGAAGTCTTTTAGCTAACACCTACATGGCACTGTGAGCCAGGCTGGGTCTGGAGGGCTTTTACTCGGAGTTCATGAAGCATGTATACTTAGAATTCTTTTACAAATGAGGTCACTGAGGCAGGGGGCAGTTAAAGGACTTGGCCAAGGTCACAAAGCCAGTAAATAGCAGGACTAGGATTCAAAGCCGGGCAACCTTACCACCCTAAGGACAGTCATACTGCCTGCACTCAGGCAGAATGGGAGGTTGGCGGGGAGGGGGGACAGGTCAGCCAGTGGGTGTTTGCCAGCCTGCCCACCTACCTAGGCATATCTGCCTGCCAGCCCAGAGCTAGGTCTTCCATAACGACTCACAGCCTGCAAAGGCCTTGCCAGGACCAAAAGAGACGATCCTACAAACATCTTGCGGCAGCCAGCTGTCTCTGATCAAGCATGTACAAGGCCCAAACAGCATTTACTCATCTCCGTTCTCCCAGGGACAGGTGAATATATGCATTTCCCACATGGGCAGAGACAATCTATCCCAGGAAACATATCCCAGCAAACAGGCTAGACTTAGGTGACACCAAAAAGAATCCGGCTAGAGCTACTTGCCTTACGGAACTCATAAGCATGATGAAGGTAGGTGAGGAAAATCTCAGTTCGGAGTCTCCTGGGGGTGTAACTGGTTCCTTCTCTCAGCCCCTGAATGATCGGAGATGATATGGGGAAAACACACATACATACACAGAAAGGACACGAGCTTCAAGTCCAGGCCCCATCTGGCTGAGTCTGCCAGACAATGGTTTCCTGGAAGAGCATGGGCCCCGGTCCTTACCTCCACAGGAGGTCACAGACTATATTAAAGTGTAACATACGATTGGTGTACAGGCCTCAAGGTCAAGCACCATCACTTCTTCAATCTCCACCTCTGAGAGCTTGGCATCTTGCTGTCACATGGGGATCAGACCCCCATACACACACATACACACACACAGACCAGGTCCTTGGTTCACACTATCATGTCATTGAAGTTCTCGCTACTCCAGTGATTGTCCTTCCTTCACACCATGCTCACTTCCACCGCAGGACCTTTGCACTTACTGTTCCTTCGGCCTAGCACACTCTTGCCCCCATATGTGTATAACTAGTCCTCTTTATCATTCAAGACTCAAGTTTAAATGTCATCTCCTCGGAAAAGTCCCCTTTTTTCCAAATTTGTTCCTCACCCTACCCCCACATATCTGTACAGAACTTCTCAATAACTCACCTCCTCAAAGACCCTTCATGAACAACCTGTCTAAAGCAGGAACCCTCTCCCAATCTATACCCGTACTTAATTTTGCCTTCCTTCTCGGTAGCCAGCCTCATCCCCATTTACCGTATCTGTTTGCGTGGGGGTTGTTTGTTTGTTTTGTTTTGTTTTTCAAACTGTCTCCTATGGGAGCTCGTATGATCCTTGAGGGCAGGGAAGATGTCTGTCTTGGTCAGGGCTGTATAATGGGACTCAGCCAATACTTATTGAGATGAATGAAGCCCCGACAATTAAGACACGTGCCTAGCACGTGTCCGGCCTCCGTTACTCTTTGTCTAACTAAATGTGCTCGCCTTCCAGTCCTGGAGAGCAGGTCTGAAGGGTTTCTGGGCCGGGATGCTTGTCCTCCATCCTAGACAGAACCTGCGTTGGCGGAGGTGGCGCTGGCAGACATTACCTGCGCCTCACCGGCTTCATGCAGCTCTTCAGCTGCCTGGCCTCAGCCTCCACGGGACCCTGGCACTCGGGCTGTGGCTCCAGCTGCTGCTGCTGCTGCTGCTGGGGCAGCCCTTCAGCATCAGTGGGTGTGGGAGCGGGTGCAATCCGAAGCAGAACTGTGTAGTTGCGGCCGTGGTTGTTGGCCCAGAAAGTGCCCTCGGGGGTCTCATAGCGCACCACGAAGTCCAAACGTGCCCCGTCGCCCGCACCCTCAGCAAAGGGCAGCTGGAAGGCAAAGCGGTCGGTGCTGCCGCCATCGTCGGGCGAGGAGGTAGACACCTGACCAGAGCCCAGGCCGAGGCCCGGCTCCAGGATAGGATCTCCTGCTCCTGCTCCTCCCGCTCCTGCCCCCGGCGGGCTGCGCGGTACGTAGCGCGCTGGGTGGTCGCAAAAGGAAACCCAGCCGTCGTGTGAGGCCCGCACGTGCACCGCCTTCTCGAAGGAGCGGTTCAGCACACGCACCAACCCGCGCAGAACTGGTGGGCGCCCCCCAGGCACCCACACCCCGGCACCCCCGGGGACTGCTCCGGGAGGTGGCAGCAGCGCCTCCAGCTCCACCATGACGCGCCCCAAGCGCTCCAGACGGCCAGGCGCGGGCGGCAGCGAAAAGGTGGGCACCAGGTAAAAGCCCCCACCAGCGGGGACAGGGCAGGGCGGTAAGGGCTCGGGGCAAGCCTCCTCTTCCTCCTCCTCCCCTTCATCCCCATCCTCGCCATCGTCGTCCTCGTCAACCCCATCGCC